TCCATGGGTTAAATTCTGCTTCTGGCCAAGATGGAGAACAGGGATTTACCCTCCTGCCTGAAACAACCAACACACAAGTCACACACACACACACACGTGAATGGACTGAGGAGCCATTAAAAATTGTTTGCATTTTAATTTAATATACATAAACATATATTCACTTGTCAATTTTTTGATGCAGTGCCAAGGCCTTTTCCTTAATCTGAGTATACTGATTGAAGTTCAGTGGGCTTTCTTGTACAAAAATATATATATAATAAATATATATACATATATATTTAAGATGTGGGGTACACTGCATAATGAACATTTGTATACCTAACCCTAAATTGTACCCCACATCTCTAAAATAAAAATTTTTTTAAATGTGGGGTTACAGTTCAGAGTTAGGTAAATAAGTGGTCATCGTATGCAAAATACATTTTATAACAAGACCATGAACAGCAGGAAAAAAGGACAGTGATCCCTGAGAAACAGGAGACAAAGTGAGTCATGTGATTGGCTCTGCTTGCTACCTTGAAGGAATTTTTAGGCCACAATCTGGTAGGGTTTCCGGGCAGGGCAGGCAGGGCCTGGCAAAATTCCTGAATTGAGGAGACATAGCTGGGAGTCCAGGGAAACAAATGCAGGTGGAATGCCCTGTACATAGTACTGGAAAGGGGCAGGTTGCATAGGGAGGGAACTCCCGGAGACCTGCACAAAGTTTTCTCCCAGTATTCATGAGAGTGCTGATCAGAACACAGGCTTGAAGAACCTACCCAAAGATGGGGAAACAATTCCCCAAGAATTAGAGGGACTACTACCCAGCTGTTCCATGTGATCAGAATCAATATCTGTTCCCACTAGCCAGACCAGAAAATTTCCTAATTCAGGAGCCACCTACCTATAAGAATATTAAATAGTCTTGCCTCAGTAACATGGCAAATTAACCACAGACAAAATATTTCTCAAATCCTACCTACCAAATCTTAAAAGCAAGTCCTGAAGGGATACAACTCTACAAGTATCTGTGCCCTAGAACACAGCTCAAGAAGTTATAGAAATACAAAAATATCAAGCAACCAATAAGGTAAAATGCACAATGCCCAGCATACATTCAAAATTGTAAGGCATACAAAGAAGCAGGAAAATATGTCCAATAACGAGGAGAGTAAGAACCAATGGAAACCAACCCAGAACTGACAAAGATATTAGAGTTAGCAGATGAGGATATTAGAAATTACTATAAACTGTATTTCATATGTTCAAAGATATAAAAAGATCCAAATCAAAGTTATAGTGAGGAAAACTACAATGTCTAAAATGAAGACCGTACTGGAATTAATTGCCAATTAGACTTTGCAGAAGAAAAAGATGTAAAGTTGAAGACATAGCAATAGAAACTATTTAAAAATGAAAGACAAATCAGGTGTGGTGGCACATGCCTGTAGTCCCAGCTACTTGGAGGCTGAGGCTGATCGCCTGTGGTCCAGCCTGGGTGACAGAGTGACAGAGAGGGAGAGAAAGGGAGAGTGAGGAAGAGAGAGGGACAGAGAGGGACAGGGAGAAAGAGGGAGAGAGAGAGGAAGAGGGAGAAGAGAAAGAGAGAGGGGGAAAGAAAGAAAAACATGGGGAGAAAAAATAATTTTAAAAATGCTGTACTTAACACAATAGTGAGCTATGGGACATCAAGCAGTCTCATAAAAATGCAATTGGACTTTCCAAAGGAGAGAAAAATGGGTATAAGAATTTTTAAATAATTATCTGTATTTTTGAAAACTATAATCCCACAGATCCATGCAGATGAACGAACCTCAAGAACAAGAAACATGAAGAAAACTACACTAAAACACATAATATATAATCAATTGCTCAAAACCTGCCACAGAAAAATCACATTTATGTGACAGCAGACCTTATATGAAACAAGTGAGAGAACAATGAAGCAACATTTTTAAAGCATTGAAAGAAAAAAACCCCCATGAACTTAGAATTCTATAGCCAGAACTTATTCAAAAATATGTAATTCAAAGTATTTTTCAAAATATATTTCAAAGGTGAGACTTTTTTAGATACACAAAAGCTAAAAGAGCGTCTCACCAACAAACTTGCTCTGTAGGAAATATCAGAAGTCCTTCACACAAGAGAACAGTACCAGGTGAATAAATGGATCTACACGAAAGAATGAAGAGCTCTGGAAAAGGAAACTATGGAGGTAAATAAGATATTTTTTCTTTTTAAAGTCTCCTTAAAAAAAGAATGTTTTAACAAAAGTGACAGAACAGTATGGGGCTTGTAACATACATAAATGTAAAATATGTGCCAACAATAGCACAGCCAGTCTCATTTGAGGATGTAAAGTATAAAATCAGGAACTAAAACTGACTATAACTTGAGATACAAGTTTTACAAAAATCGTAATAAATAAAGTATACAACTCTATATCAATAAATTTGGAAAAATAGAGGGAAGGGTTGATTTTCCAGAAAAGCCTGTTATCTAAATTTATCTCCTGAGAAAGTAGAAAATATATCAATAACCAGAGGAAATTGACGAGGGAGTCAAAGAGCTACTGCTAAGGCAAACCCAGACAGTTGTATAAATGAGTTTAACAAATTTTGAACAAAAGTTAATTCCTATATTGTTCCAATTTTTCCAGGGCTGGGACAATGATACATTTACCAGTTCATCTTACAAGACTAGCAGAACCATAATTCCTGTTAGTAATTTAAAAAGAAAACCATGTGCCAACTCATGGATACAGATGCAGAACTTACTGAAACTTGAAAAAAATGAATAAGTAGAATTCTAGAGCGCATTGAAAGCACAATGTTTTGTGACACATAGTCATTATGATAGGATGCAATGATGGCTTAGGGTTAGGAAAGCTATTGTATTTAATAAATAAATGTTTTCTCTCATACATCAAAAAGTTGCCATGCATTGGTGTCGTTACAATATGCCATGCCCTGGATACCAGGAACTGAATGGTCAATAAGATATGATCCCTGTCTTCAGAACTGTCTAGAGATACAAACAGAAAATTAAAATATAGTAAAGGCTAGAAGGTAAATACAGTGTATTCTGGAAATAATGTGGCACTGAATCTAGATTTTAGAAACCTGAAAAGGCTTCTAAAGGACTACTTACCAGTTACCACAAGGATTAAAGTAGGGGTGAAGCCAGGCTTGGTGGCTCAGCCTGTAATCCCGTGCCTTGGGAGGCTGAGGTGAGTGGATTGCCTGAGCCCGTGGGTTCGAGAC